TATTTTTTCATGTAGATGTAGTTCTGATCTTCTTTTAGGTATTTCAAAATTTTGAAGGTCTTTTCCCTCTCTTTATAATATTTTAGGTGACTATCTCAGCGATGTAGCTTTTGAGTCAAAAGACAGGCTTTGTTTTGTGACTGTTACTATATTTCTAGTTGTTTCTTTAGATGTCGACACCCCTTTAAATAGCATCTCACCAAAAATATTCTAGGGAGTTTGTTTTCCTCAGAAATATGCCAATATTATTTTATCTTTTTTGCTTTTAATTCTAGTTTGAATTCCTCTCAGGATTTTTACTTTCTTCAGTCTAACTGTATATGCCATCAACTCCAGCTATGTTGTGGGAAGCTCGGCTTTTATTATACCGTATTGTGCATAATAAGGAGATCTTTCACTGGAGAGGTTCAGCACGGATTAGAAGAAATTACATAATGGTGAAAAGATTGGATCCAAAAATGTAGAGCCGCAGGAATACAGAAACAATTATGATTAACATTCATAAAGTACTTTCTGAATAACAACCCAGTGAGGTACGTGGTGGCAGAGAGAGGAGAACACTAGAATTTCCCTTTTGTTATATGAATAATACCATTTTAGAATAAACTACCATTTTAAGTGCAAATGATGTTGTTTTGTTTTTGTCTACCCTAGTTCTTGTGCAAAGCCAACTGAAAAACAGTCTTCATTGAGCTGATTCTCCAAGGCCAATTACTAATGAGTAGAAAAGGAAATCTCTGTACTGAGGATGGAGGCAAGACGACTGAGTAGCAGGAAGTTCAGCTAAACATTACCATACAACTCTTCCACACAAATGAGGAAAACACTTAGACTAAATCCTGTTTGGGAAATCTAAGAAAAAAATGCAGTGAGTCAAGGTTGGAAAAGGGAGAGAGAGGTCTGCAGATACTGGGGACAGGTCTAACTATGAATGGCACCATCATCACAGGGAAATGCTGTACAGCAGGGCAAGAAGAGGTCCTAGATCCAGCCCAGAGGAGCACAAGTTCAATTAAAATTCCTAGAAGAGAGGAAGTTAGAGTTTTTTCAAAAGTGTTAAAATGTTTTCTATCCACTGTGCTTCCAGCTACTTCTAATGCAAACTATATAGCTTACAATTCTAAGTGTGATTCTCTAGGAGAAAAAATTGACCTTTCATGAAATAGAGAACTTCCAGTCATTTATGATGAAAAGACCAGAGCTGGGGGACCGCTAGGTGGTGCAGTGGACAGAGCGCCGGCCCTGAAGTCAGGAGGACCTGAGTTCAAATCCAGCCTCAGACCAAACACAGGACACTTACTAGCTGTGTGACCCAGGGCAAGTCACTTAACCCCAATTGACTATAAAAAAAAAAAAGGACCAGAGCTGCATAGAAGCTTTGAAGTAGAAACAGAAGTTAAGAGAAATATAAAAAAAAATTAAATTAAACATGAGTGAACAATCATAATGGACTAAACAAGGATAAACTGCTTATACTCTAATTTGGAGAGATACCTGTGTCACTTCAGAACCCTATCATCATCAGGGGTTATTGAGGGAGTTTAATTAGACAGACAGACAACTAGGTGGCACAAGAATGTTTGGGCCTGGAGTCAGGAAGAATTGAGTTCAAATTGAACCTCAAATGCTTACCAGCTATATGACCCTGGGTAAGTCACTTAACCCCACTTGCCTCAGTTTCCTAATCTATAAAATGAGCTGGAGAAAGAAATGACAAACCACTCCAAGATCTCTGCCAAGAAAACCCCAAATGGGGTCATGAAGAGTCGCACATGACTGAACAACAGCAGTAACAACAACTAAACAGAAAGTCTGGGAGTGACTCTGTCATGTAACAATGATCTTACAAGAAGACCAGAAAGTGAGAGGAAGAGGAAACATTGTGGAGAAGGGGAAAAGAAGGATCAGGGAAATTATCTCACATAATCAAAGTACACAAATACAAGTCTACACAAACAAGGAGGAGGGAGCAGAGGAGCAGGTGACATTTGAACCTCAGTCTCAACTGAACTGGTCAAAGGTAGGAAGAATATACACACAACTTTGGATATAGAAATTAATTTTATTCAATAGGGAAACAGGAAGGAAAAGGGAAAAGGAATGTGAAAATAAGAGGAAGAGCAGATTAATTCAGTGATTAATTTGAATCAAAATAAACTCTAAGGTTGTATAAAAATATTTAAAATAGGTAGGAGGTAGAGAAGGCAGATTTTCATTGACTGAAAATAATTTAATTTTAAAAAAAAGGTATTGGGAGATTTAATTGATCAGGGCTCTCCTGATCCACCCTCCACTTCTCACAAAAGTGAACCTAGGATACAAGGTCAGTTTTTTTTTTCTGCCTAGGCATCTTTTCTCCTGCATTCTTGGCTTTTTGCCTGTATGTTTCAGCAAAGCTTTTCAAGGCTTCTTGTCCATTCTACAGCTCTATACATGTCATGTGAAAAAAAAATGGAGCTTTTAGTGGAATTCAAGTTTAGTATGAATCGGCATAATGGCAAGGCAGTTATAAAACTAATACTATTCTAGACTGGATTAAGACAAAGTGTCTAGAAAGGGGGAAGTAATGATTTTGTGATGTTCTGTCCTGGTCAGGCCACATCTAGAGTATTGTGTTCAGTTTTTGTTGCCACATTTTCATGTAGACAAGGGGAAGCAAGTTAGAATACGTTTGGGAGAGGATGAGCAGAATGATGAGAAGCCTGTTATCTGCTAGGAAGTCAATTGTCTCTTTTTGAGTCCTTGGGCATTGGTTTCTTTACCTGAGTCAATAATTGATAGTCAGTAAACATTTACTAAGTGCCCGCCACATGCCAGATACTGTGCCAAGCACTGGGAGTATAAATATGAAAAAGAAAGGAAGTCCCTGCCCTCAAAGAGCGTACAATACTACAGGGAAGAATAGCACGCAAAAGGAATCTAAAAAGTGTGTAATGGGTAGATGTGATGGATAAGTCAGAAAAGTCACAAAGTAGTGAGGGCAGGTGGGAAATGAGATGTCTTTACTGAGCTACCTCCTTAAGTGGAGATTTTGGAGTTCATGGCTCCGCCTCCAATCAGAGGGTAGTGATGAGATATGAGTGCCACAGCTAATTAAATCTTGTGAGTCTGGGAGGTCCATGGACCCCCAAGAAAGTTTATAGATGGATTTGGGGGGTCTATGAACTGTTGATTAAAATAATATTTTGATAAATATATTTTAACACAATTGTTCTCATTTGTAAAGCTATGCATTTGATTAATTTAAAAATAGTCTGAGAAGGTATCACCAGGCTAAGTTTCATGGCACACATACACAAAGGCTGAGAGGCCCTCTCCAAGGTGAGGCCTTGGTCCAACAAGTCCTGGGGAGTCCAGAGAGTGCTCCTTTCTTGTCTAGAGTTTCAGCTATGGAGTCTTACTAAGAACGCTAGTAGCCAGCCTGGGCTTTCCGCGAGCCCAGGTTTAGGAATGAATGAAAGCCAGCAATTCTGTGGATACTGATGGACAACCTGGCTTATCAGGTCGCTGGGGTAGAGGCGTAGAAGTGTCAGCAGGGAATAGAAGTGGCGGAATTATCCAGTTTGGTCACAAACTAACTTTTAAGTTACTGGAGAAATGGTCATAAACGTCACCATTAATGTGGACGTTATATAAATCCTAGCGTGAGATAATTAAGTGTAATGTTGGAATAATGATCTTAGATTGAAGAGAAAGTCTCTGTCCCCCCTTACCTGAAACTCACATCCATATAAAACTGCCCTCAAAGCCAAAGGCTAACTGGTTGTGAGCCCAGCATGACTATGTATTTTCTGTACATGGTACCTGTAGGAAATTCAGAAGCCCACTTGCTCCATTTCTGTAAGTACCCACTGATGCTTTTCCCTGCTGTGGCTGCCAGCTTAGGTACTTTAATGGCCTTTTACTGACTTTTATTCTAAAATAAACAGTGGGTTTTCTTTCCAGGGTGGGTAGGTGGTATATGTATTATTATCCTCATTTTGCCTATGTAGAAACTTCATATGTTGGATGCAGAAGGATGAGTTTCTTAACAAATCCATTAAGGAAAAAATACCTTAATGTGTTCATTTATTTATTCAATAATTGTTTACTGGTCAGCTACTATCTTCACACCACTATCTGGTTCTAAGCAGAATACAAAAGAAATATAAAAGACAGAATGAGGATCTGAGAGTCTACAATTTTCAAAGTTTTTTTTCTCCAGAAATGGAATTTAAGGGGAGATCAGAAGATAAGCCCTAACATGACAGCTTGATAATTAATAAAAATGCTATAGTAATTCCTCCCTCCTTCATTTTCTCTATGTGTAGGTTTGGTTTTACCCATGAAACAATTCTACAAGAAGGGATAAGAATATCACATTGTGAGAAATAACCTCTTTAGGGAGACAAATATGCCTCATGAGGAGAAATTTCTTTCCCCACCTGGTGCCCTATATTCATTCATAGCAACAACTGGATTATGAAGTTGTAAAGTGCAAAACATACCATCTCACAATTTTCTTTGGGGTTTACACATAGCAGAGAATGGTATGAAACACATTGAAGCAGTGAGAAACCCAGCAGAAGCAAATATGTTGCTATGTTTTCTAAGAGTTTGATTACTACTTTGAAGCATTTTAGGAAATGAATAAAACTCCTGAATACTTGAATAGTTTTCGTATACGATGAATTTCCAATATAATGTATTACATTTTGGAAATGCCATTTCACAACTCTTTTTATTCCCAGGAACATTTCTGAATATGCAGTTAGTTTAACAGATTTGCCTGAAGCTATGACAGCTTTCAGCTCTGATCAGATCTTCTTATGGACTAAGTTGGGTCTTGGGTGAGAAGTCTTTAAAAATAGGCTAGGTTAAAATCTAATCCCTCAAGCAATGGGTCAAACTACTGAAGTGTTGATACTCTGTGGTAAAATATGTCTTATAGCCAGAAAATGGAGCGGTGGGAATCTAGGATGAGTATTAAGTATGATTTGTTTTTCTTTGTATCTTTCCAGAAGGGCTACAGGAGGGGAGGAGGACGGAAGGAAAGGAGAAGATAAGAAAACCTTTGCAGTTTCTCTGACAGGAGGATAGCAGGATGACCTTTTTCATGGGAAGATTTGTGGTGAGAATACATTTCTCAGAGAATGAGAGGAACTAGCTTGCAAGAGATTATGTCTTGGAGACTTTGATCAGTAATATAACTGGGGTGTGACTTATTTGTAATAATTCAAATCTAAGCAAGTATGGAACTTGACGTGAACTTCATATTAGCAGAGAAATTGGATTTATTATAGAGACTTTGCCAGGAAAAAGGATCAAGGCTGGGCTGCTGGGGGAACATTATGTTGATTTCACTTAGCAGGTCAAGGTTGAAATCTGTCTTCATTATTTTCAGGAACGAAGCAATTGAGGAAGGAGATATTGTGACCTGATTAAAAGGGTATTGTAATATAATAATAGTTCTAGTAAAAACAATGAAGATTAAGGGGGAAAAGGCCTGTACTTGAGTGTGGTCAGTGGAAACAGAGAGGAGAAAATGGAGGTGAGAGATGTTTTGGATTTGGAATTGACAGGACTTGGCAAATGATTGTGAGAGGTGAGAAAAAGCAAAAAAACAAAAAGGAGACATGACTGCAAGGCTTTATTTTATTTTTTTATCTTGAAGTCTAGGTGAATATTGGTGCTATTGACAGAAATGGTGAAATAAGTAAGAGATGCAAAGTTTGCAGGTTGTAAGGCCTCTTCTGTGTTTCATATCACTAAATGATCTGCTAGATGTCTCTTCCTTGACGTTCTTTTGGCATCTCAAACCCAACGTACTTATAATGCAACTCATTGTCTTTCTCCAAACCCACTCTTCTTCCGAATATTCCTGCTTTCATTCAACACGTGAATTAGTGATATCTTTTCAAGGCTGGGTTTTCCTACCTTACTGAGGCTAGAAGCCACTCATGGCCCAGCCACTCATGCCCCAATTCTACTGTTGATCAGCGTGGTAACTTTGACCTATTCCATTTCCAACCTGGGCCAATTTGACTTTCCTTAGGTAACCTGGTGGCCCTTTACTGCTGGGGATTCCTCATACTGTCTTGTTATAGTTAGAGTTTAGATGACATTGATTTGTAGGGGACCCAGGCAGCTTGGTTGCATAACTTTCTCCAGAACCACTCAGTTGCATATGAGTAGGAGTAGAGCAAACAGCTATTAAGGGCAACCTAAAATTGGGATTTGGCAAGGTATGAATAAAACTGGGTAAGGGATCAAAGGATTCTAGAGTGGAGGATAACGCTGGCCTCTAGGAAAGTGAATTCAGAACAGGGGTAGTGGCCAGGGAGAGTACTGAGGGGTGAAAGAACTACAGGAGAATTTAAAATGTCTGGATTGAATGGCACAGATTTTGCTAAGGTGCTTTGGGAAGAAGGGGAAGGAAATAAGCATTTATTAAGCACCTACTATGTATCAGGCACCATGTAAATATTTCACAAATATTTTACACCAATTTACAAATATTATCTCATTCAATTTATATCAATTTTGTTGATTGATATTAGGGAAATATAAAATGCTATACAAGTGTAAAACACTATTATATATCATAGATGCACTGAATTCTAGTTGGGAGAGAAGGACTTCAGTGGCTGTGTAATCCAACCCGTATCTCTGCAGCACACTCATCAAACAATCAGCCACCTTTTGAATAACTCCAATAGAGGGGTGTGGGAGAAACCCACTGCCTCTTGTACAGTGGGAGACAAAGCCTAGGAACATGGCCTGACTCCACAGAGAATTAAATTAAATTAAACTGCAAATGAAGCTCCAACTATTCCAAGAGAGAAATTGCATGTGTCCCTGGACCATTCTTGGCACTATGACTTCTTTGGTTTCTATATAATACCTGGCCTGATGAGGGGTTAGTGGAGGGATACACCATTTTGTCCTGCTGCCACCCAGGACAACTGGCCTCTTGTGATTAAACTTCCCCCAATTAACCTAATTAAACCTAATAAAACTTATTAGTAACCAAGTTGGTGTGGGCCCCTATTTCTTTGGTATCTCAGTATTCTCTTGTAGCATGTGCCACCCTGCAATTTCCATAATTAGGGCAAAATGAACCTGCCCCTTTAAATTTGGCATAGTTGGCAGGATGCCAAAGAAATAGACTTGGAGTGAGAGGTCTTTTCAAGGGAAATCCTAGCCATCATTCCTAAGGGAGAGCTGATGCATTGATTTGGGTGGGGTGGCCTGAGTTATATGAATATGGGGACACCTGGAAAATGCACATTGGATTGTGCCTTGACAGGCTTCCACTGGGGAAATCCCATATGCTCCCAATGGTCTGTGTTGCTTAATGGAAGATTTATAGCCTAGCAAACATGAGAACTTTTAGCACTGTTAAGAGAGACCTTGAAATGGCAATTGCCCTCTGTACCATAGGAAATAGAACTGGGAGAGTTTCTCTCTCTCTCTTGCTCTCTCTCTCTCTCTCTTTCCTTTCCTCCCTCCCTCCCTTTCTGACTGCGTATGTCAGAGGGACAGGAGAGATAGACAGAGGAGGAAAAATTCAACGAAGTGAAGATTATTTGTGATATGATTGGTAAAAGCAAGTAGAAGAAAGTAAGAGAAATATCAGATCAGAATATGAAAGAAACAAGATGTGCAGTTTTAAAGGGCCCTAATCAGAGTCCACTGGATGGATACACACACACACACACACACACACACAGAGAGAGAGAGAGAGAGAGAGAGAGAGAGAGAGAGAGAGAGGAGAGAGAGAGAGAGTTTAAACAAATAGGAATGAGAAGAGAATGGGTAGAGAGTTTTAAAAAGTCATAGTTTACACTGACAGTGTGAACACAGGATTTGAGAGTAAGGCAGACAAAGAGAAGTATCTTTTAATATTGGGGCCACTGTCTCAGAGCTCTTGGCCTGTTTGTGTGTTTTTCTGTGCCTGTGTTTGTGTGTCTGTCAGCATCTTTAACTGCACACATAGTTTAGAAGGAAAAACTTTGCTGGCAAATCTCTCTCTTTATGTCTTGTTAGCTAATCCTTTCCTGAAAAAGGAATATGAACCTCTATAAGTTTTCAGAAAGATTCTTCCTTTCCCTTTACATTCCTGAACTATGCCAAGTCCAGGAAATATGGAGGGAAGGGCACAGAAGGAAGAAGGGAATCTTTTCCCTTAGACCATATAAATGTTTTTATATTGTAAACTAATTAGGAACTGAATTTGGCACTAAACTGTAAATTCTCTGAATTTATTCTGAATCCCTAAATGTGGTTTAAATGTTTTTTATAAATGCTGAACGTTCTTTAGAATTTGTTTTTAAGGGAATTAAGCACATCCCCCGTCCCTGCTCCTAAATGACAGATTTATTATTTTACTGCTAGAGAAGGTCATCTCACTGATTGTAGTGAGATAGGTTTGGGGCTGGTGCCAGTGAAGTATCAGAAAAAAAAAATAGACCTGGCACTTAGAAACTGCCTGCCAATATTATTAATCCTTTCTTGACTAACAAAAAGAGAAAAGGTTTATAGGAATTAGGAAACAACCAAAAGGTAATGAGCATGATTAGAACATCTAATTAGGTCCTTAGGGAATCTTACAAACTAGAGTTTGTAAACTTGCCATTTGAGGTAAAAACTCTTGGGAATGTAATGATATTGTTTTGAGTTTTGAATTCAGGTATAGTTGTATGATAGATCATTGTCAGTAATTCAACATTTGAGAGAAATTCCACAAGTTGCTCAGAAGAAATATGGTCTTGAATTACAGGTGTAAATATGTGAATCTGGGAAAAACTGAGAAGATGACCTCAGCATGGCCAAAAGTAGGATTCTCTTGACTCAGTTTCCTCATTATGTTACTTACTTTGGAACAGGAATATTTCCTACTTGGTTATTCCTGAGTCTGGCTTTGGGATGCGGTTGTTACTGCATAATTGGTTGCCAGCTGTGACTCTTACCTGAAACCAAACAGAGCTAAGGATACCACATCCTGGTATAATGTGTTCAGTTATTCTGTGCCCTTAGGCTTAGGCCTGGAGGATCAGTTTTGATGCTGATATAATCTGCCCTTGCCTTTTTCTTTTTATAGCAAATTTCCATAATCAGAGCAAGTGGTCAGAAAATATGAGCACAATGCAATTATGTAAGATCTTACTATTTTCAATCTGAATGTGTTCCACATCCCAAACAACTAAGTAAATTAAGTGCTTAAGCTTTGTTATCTGTCTGCTAATACTTACATAAGCATGTATAAGATTAAATTCCTGAAATATCTTATTCCTTTAGAATGGTATGGGAATAATTGAACAAAAGTGAAAAAAAAGGCTTGTGAAATAAAGATATGAATCTATCAAATTGTGAGGTAAAAGTCAGAACCTCTTCTGTTTCACTTTAAGGAATATAATTTCAGTATAATCAGCCATCTTAGTACAGAGTAATGTTTGTGTAACATCTATACCATTTGAATATTGTTAACACCTGAACATGTTTTACTACAGACAACTCATTTGACATACTCTATTCTCTGTATACAACTGGGAATTAATTACTTGGTGGATTTACACATCCTATCCCAGGTTTTTTGTTACAATTGGAGTAAAGTCATCCTCTTGTAAGTAAATTCATTTGTGTAATCATTAAACCTAGAAGTGGAAAGTCTTTACCTTCAAAGAGTGTTATTACCTATGTTTTTATATATAGAATTAGAACCTTAATAGCATTTGATCCTGCTAAAGGAATTAGAATTGGCTGGAGTGGAAAATTTTGAGAGAGCAACAAGATGAGACAATCCTGTATGTTAAATGTAAATGATTCTAATTGGGCATGTAAAAACCTAAATTCTCTGAAATTTCAAGTGAACTATGGGTCCCTAATTTGATGTTCTTCTTATACTTCTATTGTTAATAAGGTCAGAACCATAGGTTTGAGCTAGTTTTTATCACCTGATCTAGTTATTGGAAAAGTAACATTTGAGAGGCTGTCCTAACTTGTTTTAAGATCTGTTTTGTACCTAAGTGGTCTCTACAAGTAACTTGGAATCAGAGAAACAAATCTACTAAAAAGAAGTACACTTCAGAGCGGCCCCTGAAAGAGATGGTTCCAGAGACCAGATAACTA